TTGAGTTAACACCTTCCACGCGCGTCCTTCTCATCCCGCTTCCATCGCCGGGATTAATCAGCAATTTCGCGAACATTTGGTCCTTCGAGCCGGATGCGTGGAACTTAAAGTGTAACTCAGACACAGATCATGTGAACAGAGCATGCCCTTCACGACATGCCACGTGGACATTATCGCGCGCTTCCGCGAGTGAAGGACAGACATTTCACGCGCGCTCGCGAGTGTTACGAAAACATGTTCACGCGCTCCCGCGAGTGTAAATAGACATTTTCGCGTGCTCAATACATGATATTGTAGACTCTCGATTCGCATAGTGTTTTTCTCACGCGTCTCTCGAACGTTCTCGGTTCGTGCAGCATTTCGTACACGTGTCTCGACATTTCTCAGATATTTCATCGTGCGCAGCTCGGGGACGGCTCAACATGACGGAACCCGCAAAGGCGGGTACGGGCGGTACGGAGATCACGATGCCGCTGCTCGAGGTATCACCGGCTCGCACATCGGAACGCCAAGCCTCACCCGTGCGCTTGTCCACAGAGCTCATTTTAAATGAACCGCCTGGCGACGGTGCGGAATATTGGCGACACGCTGCCAACTTGTGCAGAGGACATACCGTTAGAAGAGGTCATCCAAATCTCAATGCATTTCGAAGAGGCGAGCAGGGCGTTTCTCAAGGAGCATGCATATCTTGAAGCCGCACAGCCGTCGGCGCTCATTCAACAGCAAAGCGCACGTTGACAGCTCAGCATGTGGCAGCGCAACCGACCCGCACGGCAGCATCTAATTTACCCGTGCGATTGTTGCAACGGCACTCACTTCATGGTGATGTGCACGTAATTTAGGGATCTTTTAACAGGCGATCGACAAAAATTAGTCATACCACGGAACCTTTGGTTCAAATGCCTTGGCCGCCACAACGGCCGCTCATGTAAAGGCTCACGGGGGTGCAAGAAGTGCACCAACCGACACGATGCTGCATGAGGCTCATCAGTCGAACTCATCAGCGAAGCTGATCACCAGCTCAGCTGCGTCAGCTCAATAGGAAGATGGTGCAATCGTCGCTCACTCATCTTTAACCCGCTCATTACACTCAACATTACTCGCTACGGCCCTGGCTCAGATCAGCTCATCTGTTCATACTCAATGCGTATGGCCTCTCATTGTTTCAGGTTCAGAACTTACCTTTGTTTCAGAATCTCTCGTTCGCCAGCTCAACATCACTCGTCATCATTCTGTCATCCTCATCACCGGAATTGGTGGCGGAAAGTCCATGCAAACTCGAGGAGTTGCATTCCTCAAGCTCCGCTCACTTCGCTCAAGATCAGACGTCATCATTCAAGCTCACATTTGCAGACGTTAACAAATATCTTGCCATCATTCAACGCTGCACCACAGGAATGGCCGCATCTCACCAAGGTAACCTTGGCTGATCCAGATGTTTTGACACCTCGGCCAGTGGATATTATCATTGGAGCTGACTCATATGGGCAGATCATCAAGCCCAACATCATCAAACGAGATACATTGATGCCAATTGCGCAGCTCTCAATCTTCGGATGGCTCGTCCTCGGACCTGTCGACACATCATCAACGGCACCTGCTGCAGTGCATCATGCATCGATTCAGGAGAGGGAAAATGCTCTCGACGAGTTACTGTCGAGATGTTGGATACAAGAAGAAGAGCCTGCGAGCAACAATCTTGATCTTACTCTTGACGAGCAACGATGTGACGAACATTTCAAGAGTACTGTTTCACGGGATTCAACAGGTCAATACACAGTTTGACTTCCACTAAAATCATCACTTGATACTCTTGGCGATTCGTATCTAACTGCGCATCGATGTTTGCAAAGTTTACAAAGGAGACTCTCCCGAGATGACAACTATCGACGTCTGTATCATCAATTTATGACAGAATATCGAGATCTCAACCACATAAAGAAAGCTTCACCCGTTTCCAGTCAGCAAACGCAATATTATTTGCCACATCACGGAGTGCTCAAACCAGACAGTGCAACCACGAAACCACGTGTGGTATTCAATGGCTCGAGCGCATCTACATCTGGCCGCTCACTTAATGATATCATGCATACGGGAGCCAAGTTGCATTTAGACGTCACCGATGTCTTGCTCTGGATTCGACAATTTCGACACCTAGTTGCCACGGACATCACCAAGATGTATAGACAGATCAACGTGCATGAAGATGACTGGAACTTACAACGGATTCTCTGGCTTGACGAACTGCTCAATGAAGTGGCATATTATCTAACCACGATCACGTATGGCACCAAGGCTGCCCCGTTCTTGGCAGTACAAACGCTGCTGCAACTGGTGAAGGACGAAGGCCATAATTTTCCTCTTGCAGTGCCGTCCATCCTTCACGGTCGATACGTCGACGACAGCTTTGGAGGCGCTGACACTGTCCAACAGTTAATCAAAATTGCATTGCAGCTGAAGAACTTGTGCATGGCGGGCGGTTTTCCCTTAGCCAAGTGGCACGCGACTCATCCAGACGTGCTCACTGCGGTTCAAGCAGAGAAAAACCAGGGCTCACAAATTACATTTGACAATTGCGCAAACAAGATACTCGGATTACGATGGCTTCCTCAAGAAGATTCATTTGCATTCGCAACAAGGATCTCGTCGCATACCGATCATCTCACCAAACGCCTCGTTTTGTCTGAAGTGGCTCAGATATTCGATCCACTAGGCTTTGCATCACCAGTTGTGATCAAGGCGAAGATGCTCTTGCAGGAGCTTTGGCATCATAAGCTCCAATGGGATGAACCACTGCCATCCCAGCTCTCATTACGGTGGCTCATCATCAGAAAGGAACTCACCAGCTTGCGCAAGATCTCAATACTTCGGTGGTATACCACATGGAGTACATCGACAGTGGGATTTCACGGCTTTTCTGATGTTTCTCAACTGGCAATGGCTGCAGTCGTATCTATCACCGTCCACGGCTCTAATGGCGCCACGATTTCATTGGTGTGCTCCAAAACAAAGGTAGCACCACTCAAGCGGCTCACCATCCCGAGACTTGAACTCACCGCAGCTCTGCTGCTCTCAAGACTCATGCAATACGTTCAAGCCACCTTGAAGTTGAACGTCACAGCAACTCACCTGTGGACGGACTCTGTTGTGATACTCACGTGGATCAAATCTCATGCATCGCGCTGGAAGGATTTAGTGAGAAATCGGGTCTCTCAAATTCAAAAGCTCACTGCGAACGCACATTGGAAATACGTACCAGGTACGTCCAACCCAGCCGATTGCGCCTCACGAGGATTAAATACTGCTCAACTCCAAAGTCACTCATTATGGTGGACGGGACCACCGTGGATACTCACCCCTGAAGCTTGGCCATCTCAACCCGCGCTTTCGGACGAGTTAAGCGCGCATGAGGCTCGTCCTGGCATTGCGCTACATGCGGCCGCATCTCAACCGGACTATCACTGGGACCTGATATATAGGTACTCAACTCTCAACAAGTTATTAAAAATAACAGCTCTTTGTTTCAGGTTCATATCGCTCCTGGGAAAGCACCGACGCAAAACACTGGACTTACACTCAGCTTTGGAGGAGGCCAGATTCT